ATGGAGGATGGATGGATGATGGATGCATGATGGAAGGATGGATGCATGATGGGTGGATGATGGTGGATGGATGGATGGATGGTGTACGGATGGTGCATGCATGGTGGATGGATGGAGGATGGATGGATGGACTTTGGGTGGGTGCATGGATGGATGGAAGGATGGATGCATGATGGATGGTGGTGGATCAATGGATGGATGGGTTGGTGGATGGATGGATGATGGATGAATGATGGTGGATGGATGATGGATGGATGGATGATGGATGATGGATGATGGATGGTTGATGATGAATGGATGGATGATGATGGATGGAGGATGGATGACGGATGGAGGATGATGGACGATGGATGGATGGGGGATGGAGGATGGATGGTGGCTGATGGATGGATGATGGATGACGGATGGATGATGGATGATGGATGGAGGATGGATGGATGATGATGGATGGGTTGGTGGATGGATGGATGGATGGATGGATGGATGGATGGATGGAGGATGGATGACGGATGGATGACGGATGGAGGATGATGGACGATGGATGGATGGGGGATGGAGGATGGATGGTGGCTGATGGATGGATGCTGGATGACGGAGGGAGGATGGATGCTGGATGACGTGCAGCTGGACGGATGGACGGTGGGTGCCGGAGTGGGACCTCGGCTGACGCACAGGGGGTCAAACCCTCCTCGTGAGCCGCTGCGTGGGAGTGAACATGCCCGTGCGTCTCCTCAGGGAAGTGGCATCTGGGGACCAGCTGCCACAACAAGACCGACTTCTGCCACCACCCTCTAAGCCACGGCTTCGACTACTTCTACGGGCTCCCGGTGACCAACCTGCGGGACTGCAAGCCCGGGGAGGGCAGCGTGTTTACCACGGGCATCCGGCTGCTGGTCTTCATCCCGCTGCAGGTGCTGGGCATCACGCTGCTCACGCTGGCCATGGTCAACTGCCTGGGGCTGGTGCACGTGCCGCGCCCGGTCTTCGCGTGCCTGCTCTTCCTCGCCGCCCTCATCCCCTGCCTGCAGCTCTGTTTCCTGCACTACTTCCGGCCCCTCAACTGCTTCCTCATGCGGAACCACGACATCACGCAGCAGCCCGTCTCCTACGAGAACCTCACGCAGCGGCTGACGGCGGACGCCATCCAGTTCGTCCGGCGGTTGGTATCGCCCGTTGATGGCGGCGGAGGTCACGGCGTGAGCAGGGGGAGCCTGTGGCCTCCAGGGCCGCCCCAGGGTTGTGCTCTCCCGTGGGGTTCGGCCACCTGCCCCCTCAAACCATTCTTTACAGGGGAGCTTGATGGGATTAGTGAGTGCAGAGAGAGAGAAAGGTGCAGCTTCTCAGTGAAGCACCGAGAGTCGCCAGCCTCTTGCAAATGCCCAGCCCCACGGGGGAGGCTCACGTGGGGACCCGGAGCCGTGTGAGCGCCCCCCAAGCCCAAGCCCAAGGCGCCTTTTCGGGTGCTCGGCGCTCAGCGGCCGGCTCCTGTCTCCCCAGCAGCGCCCAGAGGCCCTTCCTGCTGGTGCTGTCCTATCTGCACGTGCACACGGCCCTCTTCGCCTCCCGGGACTTCGCCGGCCGCAGCCATCACGGGCCGTACGGGGACGCGGCCGAGGAGATGGACTGGAGCCTGGGTAGGTGGCCGCCGCCCTGCGTGTCGGCTTCGCTCCTGACACCGCTCCGGCCCCAACCGGGGGCCCCCGGATGTCCGGCTCGGAGGGCGTGCAGAGGGGGAGGGTGGGCTTTGGGTGTGCGTGGTCACCTGCAGCCAGACGAGCTGACCGGCCCCTGAGCCTCTCGCCCTTCGGTGTTTTGGGGACACACTGGCAGCTGGTTTCCGCAGGGAGCGCGTCTCCTGGCTGTTCTGCTCCCTCTGCAAACGCAGCCACATCCCAGCGGTGAAGGCCAGGGCGGGTGTGGGGAGAAGCCGAGGGAAGCGGGGGTCCTTCCCGCCTGTGGCGCCTTCTGTCCAGCTCATGCCTCTGCAGCCTCAGACCTCTGGGAATCTGCACGCGCTTAGCTTTTGTTCTGAGCCCTGTGCTATTCCTTGACCCAGACGAAGGAGTCGTCCCTCAGCGCTGGTTCAGGGTGAGGCATCCCCTGCGGTCCCGTCCATGGGGTCACCAAAACAAGCATTTCGCCTTGTTCATGGCTGCGTAATACTCCACTGTTTGCAGACTGCGTCTTCTTTTCTCTGCTCTTCCGCCACCGGGCACGTGGGTTGTTTCTCCAGCTCTTGACTTGTAAATCGTGAACTCAGGGGTACAGGTGTCTTTGCAGATGAGTGTTTCCTTGTTCTTTGGGCAGCTCAAGAAGGATTTGGGGTTTGGGTTGCCCAGGATTTGTTTTGTGGCACTCCCTGGCGATCTCCATGGTGCACCCCCTTTCGTGGGTGCAGGAGGAAACAAACTGGCCGGCAGGAAACAGAGCACAGAACCTGCCTTCCGACCCGGTGCAGCAGAGGCCCTCGGTCGGCTCACAGGCACGAGGGCAGTGTTGGCACCGGGTGCTCACGGCGTGAGGCCCTCACAGCCGTGGGACTGGACCGTTCTGTCCAAAAATGCTTAAGCATCCGAAGAGAAGCAGGTCTTGTGCAGTGAAGGTCGGCTGGGGTACAGAGTCTTACAGGTGTCTTCCAGTTTTGCATTTATTCAAGAGCGTGTTCTGTAGAGTCAAATCAACACGTTTAAGAGCCACGTTGCTCCGGTACAGACAGGGTGATGGAGAATAGGAGACCCAGGAAGAAAATCTCATGGTGGCTTGTCCAGGCAGGAGACTAGAGACAGGTCACACCGTGATAGGGTGATTCAACTTTTGGGGGAGACGTCGGGGTTACCGCCCTGGTACCGGGCACCGTGGGAAGCATTTTGCCTTCCCTTAAAAATAGGATGGTTAGGACAGTGATGAGGACAAAGATGGAAATGGTCATGAGGCAGACGGCGGTGAGGGTGGGGCTGCAGATGGTAACACAGAAGGTGTTGGGGAGGATGAAATGGGAGCTGGGGATGAGGATGAAGATGGGGATGCAGAGGAAGACAGCAGAGAAGAGAATGGCATTGGTGGTGATGACGACACGGAAGAACACGGTGATGGTGATGCAGGTGATGACGAGGAAGAAGACGGTGGTGATGATGGTGATGGCGATGAAGACGATGGTGGTGAAGAGGACCGGGAAATGTGGTTGTGACGCTGATGGAGATCACGACGGGGATGCAGATGATGATGAAGATGCTGATAAGGAAGAAAATGGTGGTGATGGTGATGATGGGGATGAAGACGATGGAAGGAAATGCCATGGCGATGAAGATGACGACAAGGAAGAGAATGTGGTGACGATAAAGATGATGAAAATGGTCATGGGGTGAAGATGATGACAAGGAAGATCATGATGATGATGACAAGGAAGACCATGATGATGATGACAAAGTAGATCACGATGATGATGATGACAAAGGACATCATGATGATGATGACAGGGGAGATCATGATGATGACAAAGTAGATGATGATGGTGACAAGGGAGATCATGACGATGATGACGACAAAGAAGAAAATGGTGACGATGATGTGGATGAAGAAGATGATGATGGAAATGACAAGGAAAATTAAGCCGGTGATGCTGGTGAAGGTCATGACCGGGATGAGGATGGTGCCGAGGATGATTCATAGGGATGAAGGTGATGATAACGCGGAAGATCACGATCACGATGACGATGATGACAAGGAAGAAAATGGTGACAATGATGGGGGTGAGGAAGACGATGCTGCAGATGCTGACAGGAACAAAACCCTGAAGGTGACGAAGATGATGACATGGAAGAAAATGATGATGATGAGGCGACGCTCTGTGTCACTAAATTCCTCCTGCCGACTACCTGGGGACTGGAGAGACCCCAGAATGCCAGCCCACAGCGCGGGGCGCTCGAGCCGGGCTCCCCGAGCACGAAAGCGGAGCGATAAACGGGCTGCGGGATGGATCTCCACAGCGGAGGGCGTGGACGACGCAGAAGGAAGGTCCCTGGGGTGCGAAAGCGCTTGAACAGAGACATCGATAACGGCCAATAGCGGAGGAGCCTGTTCCGGCCGAAAAAAACGAGGTGCCCACGGGCTGGGGGGGCTCGAAGACCCACGAGACCCAACACAGTTTCTGCGCGCGGACGTCGCTCGCGCAAGGAGGCGGCGAGCGGTTATGGGGCGGCCGGGGCTCCCCCGCTCGCCGTCTGGCTGAGTTTAATTTACACGTCCGAGTATTTTAAATATTCAGCCAACACTTCCTCCCCGGCCGCCCAGGCTCCAGCACGCGCTGATTAAAACGCAAGTGAAGCAACAAATTGGATTTTATTTTCACATGGGTGCGTTCTTCGTGGAAAATTCCCTTTCGACGGTGGGGGTGCTGCGAACCCCAATGCAGCGTGCGTAATGAGAGTGGGGGGGCGGGTCGCCGGGTGCATCGCGGGGGTGATGCCCGGCCATGCTGGGGACAGCTAAGACTCACAGGTAGCAAGACGTGGGCCCCGCCCGGCGCCCCCAGTGCCTGCTGGCAGGCAGGTAGCTTTCCTGGGGGCTCCTGCAGGTAGGTAGCTCTCCGGGGGGCTCCAGAGAGAAGGAACATGAAGGAGCTGCGGCGTGTGGGACGTCTTCACTCTCAAAACGGGCGGGCAGAGCCGGCTGTGGGAGCTCCATCGCCCGCCAGCCCGCCAATCCTGTCAGTAACAAGCGTCTCGGAGATGCATTCACGCATCCACGCTCACCCGGTAAATCAGGCCGCCCCGGAGCCAGAACAAGACACTCGGGGCTGCTTTGACAGTCTGGGGAGAGTCGAGTCCTGACGGGGAGGAAGGGCGTCTTGCGCTGTTTCCACGACCTGACATTTTGGCTTCCTCGCGTGCTGGTGGCAATTAAGCAGAGGAGCAGGAGAGAAGTCGGAGGACATGACAGTTTGGAGACAGAAACAGCCTCTGCCAGGGCCGGCGGTGGCGTCCACGCCACTCCTCCGGCCTCCTCCCCACCTCCCCTGCGGGTAGCCTCGACTCTGCAGTCAGATTTCCAGGGTTTGTTACTGTTCACCTTCATCTCGTCCTTTTCACCCACCAGTGAAGTCACCCGGTGTTTGTCTTTCTCCTCACTTGCCGTCACCCCCAGCGACACCGCCTCGGCACACCTTTTCTGTGGCCGAGTAGTATCCCACTCTTTGCACCACCTCGCCGCATCTTTTTCACGCCCGAGTAGTATTCCACGACGCTGGCCGTCTCGGCGCATCTTTATCGTGGCCAGGTAGTGTTCCACGGTGTTAGCTGTCCTGGCGCACCTTTTACGTGACTGAGCGGTATTCGACAGCGCGCCCACCTTCTTGGGGCACCGTTTTCATGGCCAAGTAGTATTCCACCTCGTCTACCAGCGTGGCGCTTCTTTCGCATGACTGAGTAGTATTCCACGGTTGGTCGCCATCTCGGTGCATCTTTTTTACGGCCGAGTGGTATTCCGCTGTGTGTTGGGTAGCTTGGAACCTCGTTTTCATGGCCGAGCGGACTCCCACTGTCTCCACCATCTTGGCACATCTTTTAAGTGGCTGAGTGGTAGTCCACTGTGTGCCCACCGTCTTGGTGCATCTTTTTCACGACCGAGTAGTATTCACCATGCCCCCATCCTGTAGCTTTCTTGTAGCCGCGTAGTATTCCACGTGGCAGCCATCTCTGTCATGTATTTTTCACGACCGAGTATTATTCCGCCGCCTCTGCCATCTTGATACTTGTTTTTCACAGCCGAGTGGCATTCCACTGCGTGCCCGCCGGCTTCGCATGTCTTTTTCACGGCCGAGTAGTATTCCAACGCGCCGCCATCTTGCCACATCTTTTTTTCGTGGCTGAGTATATTCCACCTTGCGTTGGCCATCTTTTCGTGGCCTAGTAGTACTCACTGTCCTGGTCTATTTTTGTGACGGAGTAGTATTCCGTTGTCTTGGCTTTTTCGTGGCTTAATAGTATTCAGCTGTGTGTGTGTTATATCTTCTTTATTCACTCACCAGTCACCTCTGATCCCGCAATGCCCCTTTCTCAGTATCCATCGTAAGAATGCTAAAACTGTCCTTCGAGGGGACGCACGCACGTCTGTGTTCATCACAGCCGTCATGCAGACGGCGCAGAAGCCCGATGGGGATGCCATTTTGTCCTGGAATTCTTGTGAGTCGTGCAGAGGTGGACGAAGAGATGCAGGAAACCCTCGGGCCATTGTCTGGTGCAGCAAGAGCTCACGTTTTGGTTTAGTCTTGTCCGTGCTTTTGCTGTGGTTCTTGACGGTCTGCATCTGAGTGAGTGATGTCCTCTCTGTCTCAGAACAGGACTCTGACCAGAGCGGTGTCCCTGGGGGTGCGCCATAGCTCAGGAACCACACTGCAGAGTGCACCGCCGCTGGGAGTGAGTGTGTGTGTGCACACAGCACCTACAAGTGACCTACAAGTGAAACTCAGCGGTGGGGCACCGGACACAGATTTTGGGCATTCCGGGCATGTGCCTGGCTCTGTGGCCTGCACCCTCAGCCCCTTCCCGTAAGCACCGCTAATTTGCTAGTTAAATACCTGAAGGCACAGAGAGGAAAGCTGTGCCAGGAGTCAGATAACCAGGCTACAGCAACGTTCAAATATTAGCCCGCCGAGGACCCGTGTCTATATTTGACAGGGGAGGGCCACAGCAGAGGTCAGAAATACACTGGGCAGCTTGTTTCTTTTAAGTCACGACCCAATTAGGGCTGCTCGGGGTAAAAACAAACACAGCAATCTCTGTGGATAAGGCTCCTTCCACCTGTTTGAACCGGTCGAATCAATCGCTGAGATTAGATGAAGCTGAGTCTTTCAAGTCTGCAGCTTCGGAACGTGTCCAGGAAGCTCTCGTCCTGTCCTCCGGGATCGTCCCGTCCTAAAGTAATCAAGTGCCCGTGGCGGTGCATTAAAAAGTCTTGGATGGGGAAAAAGACAAAAAAAAAAATCCTGGATGTGCAGCTGAACAGGTAGCTGCACCTGCATGTGTCTGCTGAACAAATGACTGGACTGTTTCAGCTGTGTTTGCTGTGTCTGCGGGTTTCCCACAGCGCCTCACCCTGGAGGCGGGTGGGTATTGCAGGCAAAGCGTAGCCGG